AAATAAATCAAATTTTCAGTGGGAAAGCGGAGGAATTGCTCATCAGGTTGTCGAGTCAGCGTGACAAGCAGGTCGCTTTCAGATATGCAACCACTGGTGCATCTGCCTAACAGGCATGCGAACACATTGATCAAGACGACTTATCGACAGCCCGTGCGAGGATGGACGCGATGAATCAGCTTTCCCATGACGGCTGTAGGGCGTTCATTCGGCGAGGTGAATCGTAAGAGACTCTGGCTAAATGAGTGTCAGCGGAAACCAATAGCTTTTTATTTGCGATAGTTCCACAGAAATACGCAGGTGAACATTCCATGATGCTCCTTGCCGGAAGATTTTCCTGTAAATGCCGTAGGTACAAAAGAGACCTCAAAGTTTTTAAAGTCCATTGCATGCTTTCCATTGTGATTCTGAGGAACCATCGTATAGGGGACCTCTTATTTACTGGATATAAGCAGTATCTTTGTGTTCTCAAGCTGCAAGATTAGAAATGAGAGAAGCTTCGTCGACGTAGGATGTATTTTACCCTACACAGATGGCGCTATCCCCTTAAATCTTTCTAGAGAGCAATGGAAGGGAAGTGCTGGCATTGCGCTTTTTTAACGCTTCCAGTGTGAGGTTCTGTGGAATAATTACATAATCCTTCTGTTTAAATTCCTCTGTCTTGTGCCACTCATCTTTAGAATATAGAAAGTGGTGGACAAAGCTGACTATCGTAATTCCTAAAGTGGGCGGTCGTTCACCTCAGCCAAGATGTGGAAAAGGCCTATTGAGTGGTCGAGGCCCTGTTTTCTTGTCCTCCTCCATTGCGTCTTTGGTAGAGCATATGAAGGCTGCTTAGTTGCCCGATGATATGACCATAGCATATTTACTGCTAACTGGATAATTTAAACCGGAGTCTAAATACCCTCGAATAATTTTCGGTTTGCAGTAAAAGGTTCCATTAAGCTAACTTTTGTCCAAACGTTTGATTAGGCTATATAAAGCAGGAAGCCCATCTCTATCGCCTTTGATTAGTTAGAAAATTTTATAATATCATCTATGTAGTCTCAGTAACCTGAGCATTATCCCGCGTAACATATTTTATCATGAGTGTTATCATGAGTGTTACACTCAATAACCGGAGGTCGCAGGTTCAAATCTCATAGGATCCACACTTGCCATTTGGTACGACCGCCTGATCACGACGACTATTAAGCCGAGATAGGCGTTCTGGTCTCCCTTGTTTTCAACGGTTCAACTCTTCAAAATTCCTCTTTTTAATTTTAATGCTAAAACTTAAATTTCCTAGCTACATGTTTATCACGTGGAGCACTTCCTATGAAACCTCAAAACCTCTCTAAGTTTCTACTTCTTTCGGATCGACGCATATGGTTGCACTCAACTGTTTGCTTTCAAAAGATCTCAAATACTAGACTAATCGACAACAACACCGACATCAGTTTATACAATATTTTAGGATTAAATGCAAAGCGTATACTCGGCAATGTTGCATGCGGTCCAAACAAGCGAAAGGGTAAAATCTTATGTTATCTCCTAAAGACACATATTCATGAAGTTTTAGACCTTTTTGCATTTTGCTTTTACTTTTTACCCTTCACATTTACCCTTCACTACTTGAAGACAAGCTCCCACAAGCATCTTTTCCAACGCTCTCAGAGGACAGCAAGCCCCTTGTTAAGTTTTCGCTATTGAATTCAGGCTAAATAAACGAAAAGGGGCTTGGCTAGTTGTTCAATTAGTAACTAATAACCTTCTGAGTTGTCTGCTGCTGGTTGCATCCACCATAAATGTGTTTGGTCACTTTTTTCATTCCAGTCGTGGGGGGGGGCTTCTACCTCAACACTTGGTTCGATAACTCTACACATACCGCATTATTCCCTGATCTTCTATTTCTAAAAGTGTTTCCTTTCTAACCTTGCACATTTTAGTCATTATTGGAAGGCCAGACGTAAATAGTCGGCGGCCTTTCTACGGTCTACGTGCCACAGCCATGAATCCAATGTGGCCCTTCTCCGGTACCGTAATTCCCCTCACCGTAGAGCGTTCAATTAAGGTAAGGCGTCCCTTCATCCCTCCATAACTTGCCTCCCTCCCTCTCTAGGGAAACTTGCAACCCGGTCAGCGCCTGGAAGTGTACTACGCCGAAGGTACCATGTGTGGTGTCACGGCGGATATGCTGCCAAGGAGGGAAGGGACCTACTTGATTTCCGGTCAGTCCCTATACTATTTGCATCGGAACTTTCAGTTCTGACCCCAACCACTGGTTATTTTCTGTTAAAGTTACGTATCGAATAAGTCACCATTCATAGGTTTTTGATAAAAATAACATATCCGTCGTTACAAGCGCTATTTTAGCCGTTTCAGGAAATTTTGACTGCACTATCTTGTGGCTGAAAGGAGAGTACCACCGAATGAAACCCCTCTTCTAATCGTTTTCGCGGTAAATCCTTTCAAAATGGAACATTAAAGAAAAAGGATTAAATAAATAAAGGAAGAGACCTTTAATGCTTGAATCGATGCAGAAGGTCAGCTGGCGAACAGCTGGTTTGAATGTAGTCCTTTTTTACAGTCCGATAGCATGACATTTTAGTTAGGAGTTTTTGACTTGGTTGACAGTAGTAGCGTCATAAAATTTGCCAAAAAACGATTGTTTAACAAGGGTTGAAAGATGGTGTTTTTTGATGTCATTTAACAAGTAGTTTTTGTAAATTATCATGTGACTAGCCCAGAGAAGGAAGATTAATTCCCTAATAATTTATCCAAATAGCTGCGCGTATCACCCGAATTTACCCATAAGTTCTCTGACGGCAGCTGTTTCCATATAAATGATCTGTCCAACGAAATTGCGGCGTGATTTCAGTTAAAGAATAAATTCTGTTATGTGAAAATCCTGACCATAAAATGTGTTAGATGTGAAATTTCTGCGCATTTGTTTCGTTCCAAGCCTGAGTGAACTTATTGAAATCTGCAAATATCTTAAGTTTCAGCACACTTCATGTCTCCTAGGAAATACTTCCTGTCGCCTGGTTGTGGAGAACCTGTTTTATTTTTGACTGTGTTTACAAGGAAAGTAACCGATTTCAAATTACAATGAACATTAATAGTAAAAACCTCGCTGAGCTTCCTATAACTACCGACTCAGTTAAAGGGGCTAAACTGCCCGAAAGCCATCTTAAATGTCAAGGTGCTGCCATGGTTTCAACAGTTTTTTGTAAAAACTAAAATAAAGTACAATTATTAGTTCTCCTTTACGATTTTTTCGACCCTGCTGAGGCCTAGGGAGCATTCATAATTTCTAGAAGATGCACCTCATTATAAATCGAAGGAAATCATCTGTAACTCTCTCGGCAGGAATTACTCGCCCCTAATTCATTTTGAATGAATACTTTTCCCATATCAACGCTGGCGAAGTTAAATAACTGCCGGTTGATGCACTTTTTTTCCTTGATTGCTGAATGACGATTAATCGGTTAAGTTTTCTTCTCAATGAAAGCAATATTCTTTTTTTCAGGTTTTCACGTTACCATTCCGGGCTGCAGGAGCCTTGGCTTCCGATGTCACCTGCCCCCAGAAATCCATCTTGTCACGCGTTGCGGTTGGACAGCTCCTCTGCACGACTTGACAATCACTCAAATTGCTGGTCTATTTCTCGGCATGTACTCCTGTGATGGAGGCGCCTGTCAGGTGAAACAATGATTTTATCTTCTCCTCTTTCTCAAGTTTTATTTGCGCCGAGTTTTCAAATGTTCGAGCTTGTCAGCATAACTTAACTCCCAGGAAACATTTACAGTCTCACTTTTTCGAGTCTTGCCAATTGATCTTTTTGACAGACTAATTCTGAAGTAAGCAAAAACATCGGTGTCTGAGTGTACTTACATCTTTGTCGTCATCTTATTCATTATTCTGCCTTGGTCGACTTCGACCTGGCAACTGGTTTTTTAAGTTCTGCAAATATTCCCATTCTTAAGTTGAGAAGTCAAGTTGGCAAA